ATGGAACTTCTAAAAGAATTATGGGCACATGTCAAAAGGACACAGAAGCCAGCCTGAAGTGGCTTCCATTGGCCAAATCTGGAATAATAAGAGCGCAAAATTAAATAATGACAATAATGCACTGAGTAACGTAGGGAATCATAAATCCAACCTGATGCAAATAAAACCATGAAGAAATTGAAATTTTATGAGGACAGGATATTTACGTAGCCTCCAAGTATCTCCCCACAAAACAGTAATGAACTAAAAAGGGACAAAAGTAATTTTACTGTGTAATTTTACAGACACCTTAACCAAGGGATCAAAATAAACAACATCAGTAATGGAGTCAATTGAAAGTATGTGCCATCAGATAGGCACAATGAGAATACAGTATCACTTCTATGAAATCCCTGCTAAAGATACACAACATAAACATAAGAGGAAACATCACACAAACTCAAATTGAGAAACCTTCTATAAAATAATTGATCTGTAATCTTCCAAGGTATCAAAATCATAAAAATCGAGGAGAAACTGTGTAACTGTTGCCAACTGAAGGAGATCTTTAGTTTCTTCTTTTAAGCTCTTTTAGACATGATAACTAAATGCAACGTGTGATTCCAAACTGAACCCTTTTGTTATAAAAGACATCCAGGGCAAATTGGCAAAACCTGAATGATGTATAAAGATTAGACAGTAGTAATATATCAGTGACAATATCCTGATTGCAATGGTTGAACTGTGGTTATATAGTAGAATGTCCTTATTTGTATAGGGGTGATGGGGCATAATATTGAGAAAACACTCTTCTAGTTCAAGGTTTAAGATTCAACATACTCTTATTGTTTGTATAAATTTGAGATTGCTTCAAAATAAAAAAATGACTTTTAATTGAGACATGCGAATAAGCAGGAAACTGTGATCCATAAACAAAAGAAAAAACAGTCAAAAGAAGCAGCTTCAAAAATGATTCAGCTATTTGAATTAAGAGACAAGAACTTTAAAATGATCATGACAAATATGTGAAAGAAAAATGAGGAAAAGACGGAAATTTTCAACAGAGAAAGGCAATAGGTGAAATTAACCGATCGTCATTCTAGAACTGAAAAATCCCAAGGTCTGTAATTAAGAACTCAATGTGGAGTCTTAACAGCAGAAGATAAGATTAGCAAAGACAAAGACACGTCAACAAAATTGATCCAAACTGAAGCACAGAGAGAAAAACTAAACAGCAAAAACAACCCAGATGAACAAATAAAAACAAAACAAACAAAAACAATAAAACAGAGTACATGACCTGTAGAATTCCTGTCAAATGGTCTAACATACCAGAACTGTAATTCCAGATGAGAGAAGAGAATGGAGTAGAAGTCATATCTGAAGAAATCATCACAAAAAATTTTGTACAGTCAACAAAATCTATGTCAAAATGTTCAGCAGACCCCAAGTAGAGTTAAAAAACAAAATAAAACAAAATACAGCCCCAACTGGAAAACGAAATATATAGGGAAAATCTTAAGCGCAGTCAGAGCAAAAAAGGCATTATCTTAGAGGAATAAAAATAAGAATTAAAGGCAACTTCTCAAAAGAAAATATGAGAACTAGAAGACAATGAAATGACAACGCTAAAGCGCAGAAAGAATAAACTGGCCAACATACAATTCTCTATCAAACAAAATTATCTTTCTAAACTATGAGTGAAATAGATATGTTCAGAGAATTATAGCTGAGATTATTCACCACTAGAAGCCAATACTATAAGAAATATTAAAGTAAGTTCTTTAGGCAAAGGAAAAATGCTACCAGATGGAATCAGGAAAGTGCAAGAAGGAATGAAAGAGCATCAGAAAGAGTAAATGTGTGAATAAAGACAAAAGACTATTGACTGTTTAATGTCGAAACCATATCCTCTGAGGTATGGAGCAAATACAGAAGTAAAAATATATCACAATTATAGCAACACAAGCAGGAAAAAAACAGAATTATACAATTTTAACATTTTTATGCTGTTCAGGATACAGCAAAAGTATTAATTAATTAGTTGATCTAGCCAAAGGAAAGCTGATGTGGCTCCATAACATTGAACAAAGCACACTTTAAGGCAAGAAGGATTAATAGATTAAAAATGGCCATTTCTCAATGATAAAAGGGCCAATGCAACAAGAAGATAAAATAATCTTAAATTTGTATCTAACAATATAGTTTCAAGATCCATAAAAATGAACACAATCAACAGGAAAAACAGATAAATCATAATTGGAGATTTTAACACAATTCTCTCAGTAAGAAACACAAAAAAAACAGTAAGAATACAGAACACTTGACTAACACTATTAACCAACCTCATCTAAATTATATTTGTAGAAGACTATACCAAATAACTGCAAAACACACAGTCTTTTCAGGCAAACGCAACATTCCCCCAAATACACCATACAGAGGGCCAAAAAGCAAGTGTTAATTTCGAAATATTGAAACTCTCCAGCGTATGTTCTCTCAACATAATAGAATCAAACTAGAAATGAATATAGAAAGATAACTAGAAAATCCCCAAATGTTGGGCAATTAAACACATATCTGGACAACAGATGATTTAAAGAAAGAAATCAGGGACCGGCTCCATGGCTGAGTGGTTAAGTTCGCGTGCTCCGCTGCGGGGGCCCAGGGTTCGGATCCTGCTCGTCAGGCCATGTTGAGGTGGCGTCCCACATCCCACAACTAGAAGGATCTGCAACTAAGATATACAACTGTGTACAGGGGGGATTTGGGGAGATAAAGCAGAAAAAGAAAAAAAAAAGAGTGGCAACAGTTGTTAGCCCAGGTGCCAATCTTTAAAAAAAAAAAAGAAATCACAGTGGAAATTTAAAAATATTTGACTAGAGGATAATAAAAATATATAAAAATTTGCTAAATGCATTTAAAGTAGTGCATAAAGACATTTCATGTTCATGGATCAGAAGACTTAATATTTTAAGATGGCACCACTCCCCAAATTGATCTGTAGATTAACACAATACCTATCAAAATCTCACTTGCTTTTTTTGGAGAAATGGACAAGCTGATTCTAAAATTAATATGGAAATTTAAGGGACTCAGAATAAACAAAGCAACCTTGAAAAAAAGAAGAAAGTTGGAGAAATCACATTTCTCAGTTTCAAAATTTACTACAAAGCTACGGTAAACAAGACTGTGTAGTACTGGCATAAGGGTTAACATATCAATCAATGGGACAGTACTGAGGATCTACAAAGAAACCTCACATTTATGGCCAATAGATTTTTGACAAGGGTGTTACAACAATGCAATGGAGGAATGAATAGTATTTTCAACAAATGATGTTGAAACAACTGTACATCCACATGTAAAAGAATGAAGCTGGACACCTACCTCACATCACATCACAATTAATTCAAACTGAATCAAAGACCTACATGTAAGAGATAACACTATAAAACTCTTAGAAGAAAAAGGCTTAATCACTATGATCTCTGATTAGACAACAGTTTCTTAGAAATGACACCAAAAACACAAATGATGAAATTAAAAATATAAATTGAGCATCATCAAAATTAAAAATTTTTTGTTTCCAAGGACAGTACCAAGCAAGTGAAAAGACAAGACAATCCACTGAATGGAAGAACATATTTGTAAATCATATATCTGATACGGGGCTTGTATTTAGAATATATAATAATGCTCACAACTCAGTAATAAAGAGACAAATGATCCAATTTTAAAAATGGGCACAGGCATTGTTAATAATAACAATCTCTTCGAGATGTTTGAGGGACAGAGACCCCCATAGAATTAGATGAAACCATGAAATTACCCTAGTCCCTGTTCTTTATGAGGGTCTTTCCTAATGGTGGCTGGGAAATTAAGAGAAAAATGCTAAAAACAAAATAAAAGATGTGATTCAGGCAGTCACCTCATACATGCCCCTACTAACACCATTACCTAAGCAAAGCCCCCAACCTACTCCCTTGACTCACCCCCTTCCGGCTTCTGTTGTGACATATTTTCCCTCTGAAGTCACCAGTGTTGATCTTTTCAAAGCTGATTTACCCAGGTGAGTATCTCAGAACGATGAGAGGATGGTAGCATGAGTCATAAATGATGATTTGCCTCAAAAGGGCTTGCCCTGAGTCCATTACATCCCTCAATAGATTTTGCTTCTAAAGAGCCTTACTGTGCTTTCCATGGTCTTTTTTTCACCCAATTAAAAAAAATGGGCACAGGATCTGAACAGACATTTCCCCAAAAAAGATAAAATCAAGGCCATATGAAAAGATGCTACATCATTAATCATCAGGGAAATGAAAATCAAAATGACAAAGAGATACCACAATGAGATACAGTAGGATGGCTATAACCAAAAAGATGGATAATAACAAGTGTTGACAAGGATGTGGAGAAACTGGAGCTCTCATACATTGCTGGTGGAAACGTAAAAAGGGGCAGCCTCTTTGAAAAACCATAAGCAGTTCCTCAAAAGTTTAAACACAGAGTTACCATATGACCCAGCAATTCTACTCCCAAGTATATACCCAAGAGAAATGAAAATACATGTTACATGTCCGTGTTCAAGAATGTTCACAGGTGCTTTATTCACAGTAGCCAAAAACTGAAGGAAAAAAGAAAACTAAAAATTAAATGTCCATCAGCAGGAGAATGGATAAACTGTGGTATACGTACACAGTGAAATGTTACATAGCAATTAAAAGAAAGGAACAAACGATATATGTAACAACATGGATGACTCTCACAAATGTCACATTGAGGAATAATAAGCCTGACCTAAAAGAATATATATTATATGATTCCAAATATTTGAAATTCAAGAAGAGGTAGAACAAATCAAAGGTGATAGAAGTCAAAATAACAGTTACTTCAGAGTGGGAGTGGGAGGACTGATATTGACAGGAGGTAGGTTAAGGAAACAAACCTTCTAGTGGTTCTGGAAATATCTGAACTTGACAGGTGGTATTTGCACAGGAATGTATGTATGTGTGTGTGTGTATTTACTCTCTCTCTCTCTCAAATGCATTAAGTTGTATCCTTAAGATTTTTGTACTATACATACCTCACTGAATGTATTTTATATCCCAATTATTTTAATTAATGAAGGAAAACTACTCTATGTACAATACTGTACCAACTATTTTTAAAAATGTTATGTACACGTAATTAGAGAAAATAAAGATGAGAACAAAATGTACTCAGATTTTACAGTAGAGAAGTTAAGGATTTGGGCTTTGAAGTCAGAATGACATGTTCAAATCTAGACTTTGTCACTTAAATGCAGATAATAATAAATCTACATTATAGGATTGATATGATGACTGAAAGAGACAACACACATAAAATGCTTGGTACATAGTAAATACTAAAAAACTTTTATATCCTACCTCTCCACACACATGTAATAGAATTACACATGCTTTTAATTACTCCTTTATACTTTTCTCACCTTTTTCCTGCGATGATGGAGACCTCTGAGTTAAAATCTACAGAGTGGAATTCATCCTATGACAGTGCAGCCATGGGAGAGCTCTGACCAGGCCGACGACATAACAAGCAGCAATGTGGGGAAGACTCTGCCGGCAGCAGCGTGCTTGGTGGCCTTGGGCAGGAGGGGCAGACTTGGCCTGGCCGGCAGCAGGACAGCCTTGAGGTAGAGGGGTTATTGTTGTCATTTCAAGCCTCCCAACACCCTGGAGAAATCTACAATTGTCATTATTCCCATTCTTTTTTTTTGAGGAAGACTGCCCTGAGCTAACATCTGCCATGAATCCTCCTCGTTTTGCTGAGGAAGACTGGCCCTGAGCTAACAGCCGTGCCCATCTTCCTCTATTTTATATGTGGGACGCCTGCCACAGCATGGCTTGACAAGTGGTGCCATGTCCATACCCGGGATCTGAACCTGCGAACCCCAGGCTGCCGAAATGAAATGTGCAAACATAACTGCCGCACCACCAGGCTGGCCCCCTTTTTAAAAAAAAAATATTTTCTATTTATTTCATAAAACTGTATATGTATATAGAATTTCTTTTTCTTTCAGATTCATTTATTTATTATTTCATTCCACAAGCACTGTTTTGTTATTGAGGTATAACTGACATATTATATTAGTTTCAGGTGTACAACATAATGATTCTATACTTGCATATATTGCGAAATGATCACCACACTAAGTCTAGCCAACATCTCATGTTTTCCCATGTTTCTGAAATCTTTTACAACACAGATATTCACCAAGGTATTCACTGAGCGGGCATGTTGCTCCATGCCATTATATAAACCACAGGTTTACGTAATTCATAAATCACCAAGTCCTGAAACATCAGTACCGCTCAAAGACAACATTCTCCTTTTGAACTGCTTAACATTCAGTACAGGGCGCAGACACCTAACACCACAGATGCTCCTACTCCCCCCTCACCCTGTTTATTTCCTTAATGTTACTTTACAAATAAATCTGAGAAAATCTAGCAATAAATCTTCAGCATTCAAATACTTTTAAATGTGCTTTTGGGGATACTTTTAATCTTTCTCCAGGGCTTGAAAGATCAAAAGGGTCTGTGGGGTGTCTGTGTGTGTATTTAACCCATATTCTAATTTCAAATGTGGTTAAGAATCTAACTCCCAGAGTTGAACTAAAAATCAATACCAAGCAGTGCAAGAGACAAAACTGTGTCCACAATACAGCCAGATAACAAATGAAATCTATAAAGGATCTTCCTTAGAAACAAAATAAAAAGTTCCAATTCCATCAGAGTCACAGAAGGTAGAAACTGCATTGCAACAGAAGTATACATGAGATATACTGAAGGGTAAAAATGACAGGAAAACGCAGAGTGGACTTTGACATATCTCTAATTACTACTTTGTTTCAGGCTAATGGTAAAAATTAGTCTTCAGATAGCTGATAACATCAGCTTGTCTCTGCTGGGTTAGTACCAAGATCTGTGGCCAAGCAAATACTTCTAACAAAATTGATTTTCTTTTTGGCAACCAATAGGCCAGTCAATAATAATGTTGTTTAAGGAAGATTGAGTCATGAGGGAGAGGAACCTTTCCTTCCATTTATTATGTTTGTATTGTCTATATTTGAAAAGAGTTTTCAATAACGAAATCAAAGAAGAAATTACAAGGGGATAGCTATTCTGAGAGCTAATCTCCAGAAGCCCTCTGACTTGGAAGCATGCTAGCAACCCAACCCAACAAAGCCAAAAGCCTTCCCTTAAGCTGGATCATCCAGATTGGGATCGCCAATACCAAAGGACAATCGAGGCGAGGGGCAGTATTGTGGTCATGTGAGCACAAAAAGGGCAAGAAAAACACTGGCCAGGCATACAGTCCCAAGTGATCCATCCCAAAATCCTACACAGAAGTTTGACTTTGCATTAAAGCTGGTATTCAGCCAAGAGTGTTCTATAAAGCCACATAAGGCAGTTTCTGGATTGTCTTACATTACCGAAACAAATAGAATACAAGAAACCCATAGGCAAAAACCTCAGGCTATGCCTAACTTGGGGACATTTCCCTCCAAAATACCCCCTAACAATCCAAACCAAATGAAAGGCACAAGTCACCAATAGTTTGTTGTTTCTGTTTTTGTTTTTTAACTTAGTGATGGTGGTGGTGGTGATTGGGGGAAGCAAGGGTTGGAAAGATGATTTCAAAGTTCACACAGAAAAATAAACAGCAAAAGTAACAGGAAAAATTCTGAGTAAACAGTGAAGGAACCTATCCTACCAGATATTAAAACATATTTTGAAGCAACAGTATTTAAAACAGCATAGTACAAGTACATGAACAGAAAAATAGAGCAATGGAATAGAACAGCAACAGAAGTAGACAGGGGAAGTGAGAATATGAAAAAGAAGACACTTCAAATCAGTAGAGACAAGATTATTCAACAAACATTACTGAACAACTGGTTAATCATGTAGACAAAAATAAAGTTGGCAGATCCAGACAAAAATAAAATACCTATTACATACATGTGTCACAAATTAATTCTAGACAGATCAAATAAACCATGAAATGAAGAAAGTAGTAGAAGAAAACAGGGGAAAAGTTTTAATAATTATATCACAAAGAAAGTGCTAATTTTCCTTAATATATAAAAAGTTCCTATAAATTAAGAAGAAAAATACCATCAATCCAATGGGAAATTGGGCAAAAGATATGAACATATGGTTCACAGAAAATAACATATAAACGGTTCTTAGTTACATGAAAGGATGCTCAATATCATTCTTAACAAGAGAAATGCAAATTAAAAATATGATATACCGTTTCTCATTCATCAAACAGGCAGGGAACAAAAAGTGCTATAACAAACTATTTTGGTAAGGGTGGAAAAATAGGAATTCTCTCATACATTGCTGGAGGAAGTATAAATTGGTACAGTCCATTTATATGGTATTAGTTAGATAAATTATGATACATCTCTATAAAAGAATATTATGCAGCCATTAAAAAAGATAAGGCAGCAGTATCTGTACTGATACAGAACAATCTCCAAGATAAAGAAAGCAAGTTATAGAATACCATGTGTAGTTTGCATCATATTGCTATTGGATAGGCTTGCATAAACATAATATATCCTGAAAGGACATACATAAAACTGGTAATAGGTACTGCCTCTGGAAAAGAAAATTGAGTGGCTGAGAAACAAGGATGGGAGAAAGAGTTTTAAAATATTAGTCTTTTGCATTTTTGGAGGTTTTTTCTCCTTTATATATAAACTAACTACTCAAAAAAAAAAATCAGTGAAATATATATATTTCAAGGCAAGCTTGTGGCCTAAGGCTATGATTTGACCTATGACTCAAAGCTAGGGAACTGGCCCAAGAAGAATGCAGACATGTCTAACAGGGAAGAAAGTATTTCTTCTGATAAAACAACAAGAATACACAAAAGGTTCTGGTAAATGCTTAGGTCCTTTCTGGTTCTCATGTTCTATTTTTCTAATTTTTTGTCAACTTCTTTACAAGTTAATATTACTTTATTCAATAATTACTGAGCACCTACTATATTCAGATATGTGAGACACTGGTGATACAACCAAACTCTGGTACCTCTATATGGTAGTGCTGAGGACACAGGCATGTACATAGCCAATCAGAACACAAGGTGATCACACTGCAACGATTCCTTGATGGGCTTAAGAACAGACAACTATAAAAGATAGGGGGGTGCCCACCTGGTTAGAGTGAAGGACGGCTTCTGGAGGAAACAACGTGTAAGCTGAGGCCTAGGAGGGCGAATGAAGGAGAAAGAAAATAGTATACACGAAGGCCAAGAAGTGAGCAGCATGTCCAGTTCTTCAGAACTAGTGGAGCTTAGCGTACCAGGGGTGGGGCATACACAGGAGAGTGCTAAGAAGTAAGAGGAGAGGCCAGCAAGGCCCAAATTGTGAAGGGCTTTAGCGGGCAAACTAAATTCAGATTTTATCTTAGAAAAATAAAAGTAAACAAGACAAGATTTGCAAATTAGCGTTACAGAAAGACTCTCCAGATGAAAAGTGAAAAATAAATTGAAGGATGTCAAGATTAGAAGCAGAGATATATTTCAGAGCTGCTGAAATAATTTAAGAAGCTTGAACCAGTGAACTGGCAATGCTGAAATAGAGAAGTGGACAGATTTAAGATATACTTTGGAGACAGAACCTATAAGACTTGAATGGGTGTGAAAGTGAGAGAAGAATCAAAGATGACTCCAGGAAAACTGGTTAGATAATGGTGCCAAATACAGTGGGAGTAGTTCTTGAGAGATGGTAGGTTCAGTGTTAGATACTGTGAGTCAAATGTCTGAGGCATATCCAAGAAGAGATAAACATTTCTGGTACTACTGGCTGAGATCTGGGTTGGTGATAAAGATTTATTCTATTTTCTCTGTGAAATAGGAGATAATCTGAGAATAAGAAAGACCATTAGATGTGCGAGGCAAAACTAAAGATGGATACCATGACTTATGATAATATCAGGGTTGTGTGATTTTTTTTTTTCTAGCATTGCCCAGAGCCCAGGTGTAGATGTATAGAAGGCAGGCAACTGGATTAATCAGAATTAGAGCTTTGCCAAGTGGCCACAACAGCTGAAAAACAGGGAATGGGAATGAGGATGAGCATAATAGCATGAGAGCGGATGAAATGAGCTGAAATGGGAGAAGGTAGATCTGTCAAGGCACTAGGGATTTTCATAAGGTCAAATAAGAAATTTAGAATGAAATGAATTGGAGAGTGTAGTTACAACTGAAAAATTAACTCTAAGTGAGTCAAAGATCTAAACATAACATAAGAGTTAAGATTACAAAATTCTTAAAGAAAAGCTTTATAACATTGAAAAAGAGGGGAAAACCTTCATAACATTGAATTTAGCAATGATTTCTTGGATATGACACCAAAAGCATGGCAACAAAAGAAAAAAAGATAAGCTGGACTTTATCAAAATTTAAAACTGTTGTGCATCAAAGGATACTTCAACAGAGTGAAAGACGATGCACAGAATGGGAGAAAATATTTGCAAATCATATTTCTGATAAGGGACTGATATCCAGAATATATAAAGAATTCCTACAACTTAACAACAGAAAAACAAACCACCCAGCTGAAAAATGGGGAAGGGACATAAATAGAAATTTCACAAAGAAGATACACAAATGGCCAACAATCACATGAAAAGATGTTTAACATCACTAATCATTAGGGAAATGCAAATCAAAACCACAATGAGATACGACTTCATACCCATTAGGATGGCCATTATCAGAAACACAGAAAATAACAAGTGTTGGTAAGGATGTGGAGAAATTGTAACACTTGTGCATTGCTGATGGGAACATAAAATGGTGCACTCACTGTGGAAATTAGTACAGTGATTCCTCAACATATGAAACAATTACCACATGATCCAGCAATTTTACTTCTGGGAATATACTCAAAAGAAGTGAAGGCAAAGACGCAAACAGACATTTGTTAGCCATGTTCATAGCAGTATTAATCACAATAGCCAAAAGGTGAAAGCAACCTAAGTGTCCACAGACGGATATTTGCATAAGCAAATGTATATGTGGTATACATATACCATGCAATATTATTTAGTTTTAAAAAGCAAGGAAATTCTGACACATGCGACAACATGGATGAACCTTGAAAACATTAAGCTAAGTAAAATAAGCCAATCACAAGAGAACAAACACTGTACAATGCTACCTATATGAGGTATCTAGAGAAGTCAAATTCATGTGGATAGAAAGTAGAATGGTGGTTGCCAGGGGCTGGGGAAATGGAAAGATGGGAAGTTAGTGTTTAATGAGTACAATTTCATTTGGGGATGATGAAAAAGTTCTGGAGATGAATGGTGGTGATGGTTGAACAATGTAAATGTACTTAATGACACAGAACTGTACATCTAAAACTTACCATTTTAACTATTTTTATGTTATATATATTTTGCTACAAAGAAAACATAGGGGTAAATCTTAATGACCTTGGATTTGGCAACGGTTTCTTAGGTATGACACCAAAAGCACAATCAATATAAGAAAAAACAAATAGACTAGACTTCACCAAAATTAAAAACTTTCATGCATCAAAGGACACTATCAAGAAGGTGAAAAGATAAACCACAGAAAGGGAGAAGATATTTGTAAATCATATATCTGACAAAGGTCTAGTATCCAGAATACATAAAGAACTCTTACATCTTAACAACAAAAAGATAAATAACTCAATTTAAAAATGGGCGAAAGACCTGCGCAGACATTTCTCCAAAGAAGACTGCCAAGAAGTACACGAAAAGATATCAACATCCTTAGTTATTAGGGATATGCAAATAAAAATCAAACCATGATAAGATATCACTTCGTGCCCATTAGGATGGCTATTAAAAAGGAAAATAAGTATTGGTGAAGAAGTGGAGAAATTCCCTCACGTATTGCCGGTGGGAATGTAATATGGTGTAATTCATTTGGAAAACAGTTTGGAGGTTCTTAAAAAAGTCAAACATGAAATTACCACGTAACTCAGAAATTCTACTCCTAGGTACAGAACCAAAAGAAGTGAAAACAAGTGTTTAAGCAAAAACATGTACACGGATTGTTCACAGCAATTCTTCACAATTGCCAGAAGGTGGAAATAAGCCAAGTGCCCATCAGCTGATGAACTGATAAACAAAAGGTCATATATCCGCACAATGGAATATTATTTACTCACAGACACGAGGGCCACATATTTTATGATTCTATTTATATGAAATATCCAGAATAGGCAAATCCATCAAAACAGACAGCAGACTGGTTGTTACCAAGGTCTGGGGTGAGGGGGAAATAGGGAGTGACTGCTTAATGGGTACAAGCTTTCCTTTTGGGGTGATGAAAATGTTGTGAAACAAGACAGCAGTGATGGCCATACAACACTGTTAATAAAGCGGTTAATACGGTGAATTTTGGGTTATGTGGATTTTACCTCCATTTTTCTCAAAAAGCTCCCTCTTCATCATCACTCTTACCTGACAGTTAATATCAGCTCTATATTGTAGCAACACTGTGACTAGCTCCTTATGCCCTCGGTCACACGCCCAATGGAGTAGAGCTCTGCCCTAAAAACACAGAAAAAGATAAATGAATTTCTTAAGCCAGTTGTGGGGCCATATAAAAGATAAAATGTTTTAAGAAAGAGAAAGTAATATATAAAACTGTAGGTTAATTATTCTAAGCATGACTGATATAAAATGCTCAGGGAAGAGCAGTAGACTTTTTGAAATCAATTGGAAATCCTGAGTTCTACTTCTGGAATCCATTATGGACTAGCCCAATGACTTATTTCAGCCCTATCGGTTTCCTCACCCATAGAGCCGAGATAAGGGTAATACTAACAACAATAATACCAATAACTTTGGTTGAATGAATGAGTTATAAGATAATGCTTTGTAAGTGTTAAGTACTTTATGAATGTAACAGATAGTTTTCTTAAATTATTATGTTTACTTCTGGTGAAAGAAATCTTAGGGATGAAAAAATAAGTACTTAAATCTAGGTAGAAATCATACTCTAAATGTAATATATCTAAATTTACTCAAGTTTATTCCTTAAAACGTAAGAAAATTTAATCAGTTTGAAGCTAAGCATTTCTGTTTAATACCCCAAATTTACACTGTGAAATATCTCAAAAACACTAGTACAGTCTACTAGCATCTATCTTCAAACGCTGACTGTGAAAGCCACTTGTAAATCAGAACAGATGATTAACTGTTAGGAGACAAAGTACTAAACGTGAAAACGTGAGGCCTACTTGGTCCAAAGAATAAACAAAACCCCCAAAGCGAAGGGCTTTTCTGAAGAAATGAGTGATGTAGGGCTTAACACCACTTTTTGAGGGTGGTGGCGATGTTGTCATTTTTAAAGAATGGAATGTTTTTCCACTTTAAGTTGAAATCCCTGCTTTATGTCACTTTAGAAAAGATTTAAGTAGAAATAAGCTGGGACAAAGATGGCTTTAAAGTAAAAAAACACCTTTCAAGAAAGCTTTTCTAAACCCACTTACACTCTTTATCTTTCAGACTGTCTTCACACACCTATTAGTTCAACTAATTAAAGCAGGATCTATTCTTGAAGCAAACAAAAAAACCCAAAGTAAGACAATTTCTTCCCTACAATGTGTCTTTTTCTTTCATTTGTTCAATTTATTTTTATTTACCTGTGAATATATTTTCCAATATGCTTACACAAAATCCAAAGAAGAAAGGAAACAGAAAATTCAAAAACGTGGGCAAATCATTCACAACTCATCATCGTAGCAAAAGCATTTTGTTCAGGGTCCACTAGGAATTTTTGAAAATGGACACAATTCTAAAAGCCAAGTAAAAAATGTACAGAGAGCAGTTTTACCTATGTTACAATTTCTGTAGCTCTAATGTGTGCTAACCTGCTGTTACTACGGCACTAATTCCAAAAAGCTCCATATGAATAGGAGATATTTTAATAAGACTCTCAGAACAATTACCAATGTATAAAATATTCTATAGTTCAATGTAACCGTTTTACAGCTTTTATATTAAAAGAATCAGATAAAATTTCAAAGTCTCTACCATTTTTAGTTCTAATTTTAAATGTGCATTTTATGGCTAAGATAAGCTATTAACAAGAATTACTACAGAGTTAAAATGATGTGTGATATACTTACACAAGGCACATACCAGAACCACCTAATAGTTAAGTAAGAAAACATAATATTAACATATCTACACAAGATGTACAGATAATTTCTACTTCTCAACCAGGTTCCTGTTTAACCCAATAGGGTGCCATCAACTAATGCTAAAGTATAAATCCTTAGCTGTTTCGATGGGAAAGCAGACAAGCAACACATTTTACTGTTAATGGGAGTTATATTTTAAATTTCCCATATGTGGTGCCAAAAATTTACTTTAGGGGAAACACCTATGACTGGACCTCAGCAGAGATTTTCACTTGGGATATATTTTCCTGAAGGGTGGCACCACAGAGCAATGTTAAAGAGGATGAGGTGCTCTCAGACATTTACACTACGCTTTTTAACAGGTTTTTTGACCTGCGATGTAATTAATTTTTGTAACACATTATTTTAATGGTACACTAATTAACCTTGAATTAGAATGATTTTTCTGACAATGACTTTCCATGGAAGCACTGAAGATATCTACATTAAGACCATCAAATGATTAATATTTTTATACAGTATTAAGAAGCTCAAAAACAAGAGCAGGATGAAACATACTGGTAAATAAGCATAGATAAAATAAACCAGGCTTTGGAATTTTTGCCTTCAAACTGTTCTATATTTAAATGAACAAAGACCAGTACAACTAGGTGTCTGAATGTCCTAACTCTTTACCTCTTCAAATTATAAGGTTCCCGTAAACATGCTCTAATTTAAGATGAATTATTAGTTCAAGTAATAACATAACTAGTAAATTGCAGAGATGGTATCCTCATACCCATTTACGACAAAACCAGGAAATAAATACCTGTGGTTTCTTTCCTTTCTTTTTGTTAACCACAAACATAGCTGTACCAATACAATGCAATTATTAAATTATTTTAGATACAGGATTCCATAATCTCTCCTTCAGAAGGAAAACCAGGAATTAGGTGCATGTTAAAGTTACATTTGCTTAAAGACTTTATCCAAATTTAGGAATTATTTCACTATTTTTATAAATAATTGTTTTAACTCCTACGAATGATATAATCTCTTACAAATTTTCAAGTTAAATTTATTTTTACTGCTACTACAAAAGCTGACAATTCTTTGTTTGTCTGTTTCTAGTTTTAACAACTCTTCTGAAAAAATACCCCAGAAGTAGTCAGGAGAGAAGAGGGGAAAGCCATTAATAAAAGGAATCTTTGTTAGGCCATGAGAAGACCACAAGCACTGTTTGGAGAACTCTGGATAAATTCCGGAATTCAAATACAGTAAAACACCGCGGGGTAAAAAAGAGTTCTCATCTATTAACCAAGGGTGCACATACTGTCCCCTCAGACAGATGAATGACTCTAAAGTGCTTCGAAAGTGCAGGCTGGCAGCAAACCTATTAAGTGGTATTACTTTCACACCTTCTGGAAAATACAAAGTGGGTCTTAATATTTTAAATGCTTCTTTGATATCCTAAGTTACTTGTCCTTAACCATTTCGAATTTTTTTAAAGTTACATTTTCTCCTGGATATTACAAATTAAATGAAAAGAGACTGTATTTTTTTAAAATGAGTCTTGATGTTCTTATGGTATTTTGAGAACAGATACAAAGCTCATACACCATACATACAGAAGACAAAAATATGGCAAAGATGGTATGTTTAAATTTTTAAGAGTTGTCACTTGGCCATTCTATTAAAGATGATATGGTAAAGCACTGTCTAATTAACACATGAAACTGCAGACAGGTTGACTTGAATTTCTCTCTGCAAAAAAACTGGTTTCAACTTACAACTGTAGTAGAGATTGACATCAGCTACCAATACCCTGTAAGGTCTCCATCCCCTCTCTCCTATCCCTATGTCCTACCCTTTGCCGCTGTGCTGCTGTAGCAGCTGGCTACAGCGAGAACTCCCCACCTGCGACCACCAGAAACTACACAATGCCTCCTATTTCCACCTCTCTCTCAATAGTGAACTAACAATGTTTCAAAAACTTAAGGACAGGAGTAGGACTGGGAGGCAGTTTAAGATCTCGAGATACACCTAGCATGGAAGCCAGTGGCTACCTATGGGATAATTTATTTACCAGCATTAAAAGAAAACCACATGCCAATATGCGTGATACACTTTAAAATCACCAACTACTTGATCTCTTTCACTGGCCAAGTTCTAAGGTAAAGAGAAATGGTGTTGCTGAGTTATCAGGGAATTGAGAAGGATTTTAAACATACTACTTTTAAAAATCCCTTCATGTGGGGGCCGGCCCTGTGGCCTAGAGGTTAAGTTTGGCGAACTCCACAGGTTTGGATCCTGGGTGTGGACCTACAGCACTCCTCAGCCATCCCGTGGCAGCAACCCACATGAAAACTAGAGGAAGACTGGTACAGACGGTAGCTCAGGGAAAATCTTCCTCAGCAAAAAAAATCTCTTCACAAGTACTTACTAAGCCATAATGTTAGTGCCTTAAAGGTGAAGGAATAAGCAAGGGAAACACTACTCCATCCTGCATAAAATAATAACAACAGCATTAATAATAAGTTGCCATGAAAACAGCCCAGAAGTCCATCATAAGACAATGGATAAATAAATGACATACTTATCTTAAAAGAAAAACCAAACCAATACTGAATTTTAGTTGATGTGCATGCTGAAGCATTTAGAAGGAAGTGTATTATCTGCAAAATACTCTGAAATGCATCAAAAATAAGACAGATCGATGGATGGATAGAGATGGATAGTGATAAAGAAAGCATAGTAAAATATTAGTGGTAGAATCTAGGTGATAGGATATAGATGTCCACTGCAAAATTCTTTCAACTTTTCCATTATGCTTAAAATTTTTCAAGTATTGAAAAAAATCAAACAAAAATTTGTACACCCATGTTCATAGCAACATTATTCACAATAACCAAAATATGAAAGCAACCCAAGCGTCCATAGACGGATATTTGGATAAACAAAATGCAGTATACTCACGTAATAGAATATTCTTCAGTTTTAAAAAGAAAGGAAACTCTGGCACATGCTATAACATGGATGAACCTTGAAGACATTATGCTAAGTGAAATAAACCAGTCACAAAAGGACAAATATTGTATAATTCCATTTATATGAGATATCTAGAGTAGCCAGATTCATGGAGACAGAAAGTACAACAGTGGCCACCAGGGGCTGGGGGAAGGTGGGAATGCGGAGTTAGTGCTTAATGAGGACAGAGTTTCGTTCTGGGAAGATGAAAAAGTTCTGGAGATGAATAGTGGTGATGTTTGCACAACAATGCAAATATATTCAGTGCTACAGAACTATACATTTAAAAATGGTAAAAATCATAAATTTTATGTTATGTATATTTTACCACAATAAAAAACAAACAAAAAATAGTTGCCAGAGCTCATAAGATTTCAACTACTTTCACTATTTTCT